TCTAAGTTAATTCTACACCAGGCGAGCTTATTGAAACTGTCAGCTTCTGATGATGCTAATGGTGGAACCTTTCCCCCCCCCAACATATTTCTGGGGCCAAACCATTCTGTGACTGGCTTCACACACTGCATTACACCATAGCTTGTCTTGATCTTGATTTATTGATTACTGGCAGAATCCAAACAGCTAGGTACAGCCATGACTATTGAGAGTAAAGAATGCCTTTACTTCAAAGTCTTCCCTAAGAGGGATGAAACTTCTTAGAAATGAGGAGCGTTAACCAGTAAGTAGAATGGAGAGACCTCATGTACTACAACAGTGTTTCTCAACCTTGGCAATTTTAAGATATGTGGACTTCATTTTCCAGAATAGCCTAGACAGCATGGGAGATGGTCCATACAACTTAAAGTTGCCAAGATTGAGAAACACTGTACTAGAGTCTCATGCACTGCATTGGATAATTATTAAATTCAGATGTACTTATTTATAATCTCTCACACACATTCATTCTTTTCAGATTAGCATAAATTTTGGGGGGAGGATTTTTTTTTACTATAAAATGAAGGTTTTAAATATCTTAAACATTTAATTTCTATAAGGACACCAATCTTCCTGCCTGTTTTGAACCAATCTTCCCTATACAATGGATTCCTTTTATTAATATGCATGCAAAAATTAATACCTCTTCATATTTTGTCCACTGATCTTTAGGAAGGATATCATGTGTCAGACTCAACTGGACTGCTCTCTTGATGCGAAATATTCTCTCATAATATACATCTTCCGGAAGTCTTTTTATTGCTTCTTTGACAACATCAGTTTCATTTAGTACATCATCACGCCTTAATCCTGCAATAGAAAAATATTTCTCACATTAGCTAAAATACCAGTCAATAAATTAGATGCAAAAAGTATTTAGCATTTAAAGCATACTAATGTCTTGAAGCTTGAGTTTGGCAACTCACTGTGCAATTAACTGCTGGATAGAATATCAAGAAATTAATTTTTGTAGTTTTGTTAAAAATGTCTGGACAATGGATCATAGATGAGTCACTCCAGCATTCTACCTCCAACTCCAGCATAACCAAAATACTTTTTAAAATGTTTTCATGATGGTTGCATGGCACCACCATTCAAAAGCCCCTTACCTGGAGTTTTTGAACCACTCCTCTTGGAATAACATTAAAACAAAACTACTAAAATTAAAAATATATTAATACTTCACTAGCTGTTTTTAATGTGCCACCCTTATCTTTTCAATGAGTTGAATAAAAAGCAAAGCAATGATTTTGAATATACTTATATGGTAGTCTGTCTTACTGACCTTAATGGGACTTATTCTGAAAAGACGTGTATAAATCTATACTGTGCATTAATCTTTGATCTAGCAGAAATTATGAGAAATGTCAATAGCCTGAATCAATTTCTGCATAGGCAGTTGCAAAGTATGTAAATTCATGAAGAAGAGGATACCATTACTGCAGCAAGTCAGTCCTAGTAGTATACCTCCAGGATTTAGCCTACCCCGACACATATGGGTGACATATAATAGAATTAGAACAACTCATGGGATGTGTGCTGACTCCCTGTATAAATGGGGAAAGACACCTTCAGCACAATGTGATTGCGGGGCCCCTCGACAGACTATCCAGCACATAGTGAGGGAATGCCCTAACAGAAGGTATCCAGGAGATTCTAGGGACTTCCTCTGCATAACAACGGCAGCTACTGACTGGATCTCCAAACTCGACATTAAACTTTGAAATGTTATTTCTGTTTTCCTTTTAGGTTTTCTTACTGCTTTTTTATTGTTTTGTTTTTAACCTGTAAAAATGAACTGTTTTAATACTGTGCGTGACCAGCCATACGCTAAATAAATAAATAACTGCAGCAAGGAATAGACAATCATTTATCTTGTTACTGATGACTTTAGTTATTGTGTGAGCACAGGCATCTTAACCTTTAATTGTAACAGAATTAATTTCTGGATAAACATGCACAAGTAGACAGTTTATCATACTGTTTATCTTCAGTGATGCCTATAGCTATAGTTGGCAGTAACACATTTTTATCTGATTGCTTGGAAGTCGGCAGCCTTACAACCTATCCAAATTGATGCCATAATGAAAAAATATAAGTTAATGCCCATATAGCTGGAGCAATTTGCTATTTTACATTAGCCAAATATACACAAACAATTGACAATGTGGCCAAACTGACTAACATGTAAATTATAACTATAGTATTTGCTTTTTTTAGTCACAAAATAAAACTAAATAATTCAGAGTAACATATTTTAATTTTTATCATCTATTTTGTGGCTAATACAATGAATGGCAATTTTCTATATTTTTATGGTGTACATGTTGATCTAACTGAAAATATTCTGTTTCAATTCAATAAAGAACTTATACACCAGTAACACATTAGCAAATAAAATTTATAGTTTAAAAATATTAAAATGCCCACCGTATTTGTTGAATCCTTGTGCATTGTAATACCATTTGCGAAATCCCTCAAACAGACGACTGCCAGCTGAAACTAGAAGTAGGAATCAGTTAACTTAAGATGGTACCTTGTTCCCTATCCAGACCCCAACACTGTCAGAACTACAAATACAGTAAGATGCAGTTATAGGGCTGCAACACTTTCAATCCTAGAAAATAGGATTGTCAGCCCAGAAAAATTCAACAGTAAATCAAAGAGTACAATATTTCTGAGAAAGAAGAATTTGGACACAAATTGTATGCAAATTGGGTGTAAGTAAAAAGACTTTTCAATATACAAATTCAGACAGAATACTATTAATAAACTTTGTTACATTTATGACCATTACCTTTAATGTATGCATAGTTTTAACTGTATTCAGAAGAATAAAACTGTTGGCTTCATCAGACAACTGCTAGTTAACACATTTTATAGATGAAAATATTTTCTTCCACTTTGTGCCATATAATTTCAAATGTATTAGTGATTACAGCTGAAGACTAATAATTCAAAGGATTGGAGTGCATTAAGGATGTGTAGTGATAATTTAGAAACCTTAAAATAATACAACTGCAAGAATAATATGAGAAGTACCATAAATACTCCACTTACTGCAGTATAAAAAAAAAACCCTAGTAACACCTCCTGTAATGTTTTTACTGTATTCCAATCTGAATATTGTTCTTCTACTTCCTTCTTTATGCTGAAATTAAAATATGTGTGAATCTTCCAGATTTACAATGAGCTAAGATCAACACTTCTAAAAACTGTGAAGTACACATGCTTGATTCTGAACTAAATAAAAGTACTGAATACTTATTTTGAAGTACATATATACCCTAACTAATGTATACAAGTACAAAGAATAATGCATATTCTCTTATCAGACTTCCTTTATATAATTCCCCATATAACTTAGGTATTATATTTTTGTGCCTATACAAAACACTAACCACACTGGCAATACTGAAGAATATTTATTTTAAAACTGTACAGGATAAAGTTGGAATTAGAAAAGGGGAAAACTTTGGGAACCAAATAAATCTGGCAACATTTTTGTATTCTCAAATATAGGAAACAGATATGAAACAGTGATGGAAAAAAAGCCCCTTTGATTACATACTGATAAAATTGATGAGTTATCTACTTCTTCCCCTACTAAGAAAACCCCTGTGGCTACTAACACCAATATCAAGTTCAAGAGAACTGAAACAAATCATATATTTCCTGTTCATATCATATATAACCCTGTTCCTCTTCCTCTAGGATAGGGTACAGGGTAGTCTACATTTTTTTCAAACTACCCCGCATCTAAGCAGCCATATAGCCTTCAGAAACCACTAAAAACTTCATAGATGACTAGCAACACCGGCATATATTCTGACCAGAGGAGAAGACAAAGACTTGAAAGTCAAAAAGGACAGGGCAGAAATATGTGCTATTAGTTGCTGTCCTAAAGATCTTTTTAGAGTTCCTTTTCACATCCAAGTGTTTCAGTAGAGGAGGATAATCCCAACAAAGCCCCAAAATTATTTTTTTTTCATCAAAACCTTTTTTTAAAAAATTGCTTGACAGAAGAATCTTTTGGAGTCAGAACCTACTGGTACATAGGCCCTTGCAGTAAAACCAACAACCTTATTTAGAAGCTGGCAGGAGAAAGGAGACATAAAAGAACAAACTTCTCCATCAACGACTAGAAACGGCTGGCGAAATTGTCTATTTAAACAAATTTATACAGCCCATAATCCCTCCATCTCATAAAGTTGACTCTGGGCGGCGTAGAAACAAAATAAGCAGTTCAAAAAAGCTAAATATAAACGACTGTCAAAAACAATTAGGCATAAATAAATAAAAAAACCAAGAAAAATAACCAATATACAGCGGCCTCCCCTAATCCAGCGACAACATACTATCATCTGGAGCTGGGCTCTCCAACCTTGGCAACTTGAAGACTTGTGGACTTCAACTCCCAGAATTCCTCAGCCCGCTTTGCTGGCTGAGGAATTCTGGGAGTTGAAGTCCACAAGTTTTCAAGTTGCCACGGTTGGAGAGCCCTGATTGAGGAAGGGGGGAGGCAGCGTGCCTATCCTTTCCTATATACTCTCCTTCCAGAGTTCAAAGCACAGCTAAATTCAAAGGGTTTTTTTCTTCTTCAAAGCAGCAACGTACAAAAGCGATGCTTTACAAACACACACACTTGAGTGGTCGAGAACCTTTCTAAACCCCTTATCCTAAAGCCCCTTATCGCGTCTACGTCCTCTTACCATCTCTACCGATTAAACCAGGCTCGTCTGGGTCACAAAAAACGACACAACCTCAAATACGCCGCCTTCTTCGACGGTTTAAACTGCCCGGATTAAAACGATCCCTTTTTTTTACTTACGTACCGGGTGCCCTGCCGGCCATTTTCACCTCTACAAAAACCGCAATGCCTCTCGGGAAAAAGGAGCGGCGTCTTTAAATCACGTGCTCACAGGCCCCCCACTCACCGCCGCATGGTCACGTGACGCAGATGGCGTCCACGGCACGTTATTCTGCCTGGTTCAAATGTTAATGCTGGGAGACGGTCCTCAGCGATGTGTTTTTTTCCCCTGCCGCGTACAATCGAAGCTTGAAGGGCAAATGTCCTTTTATACAAGAAATACGGGTGGTGTTTTTTTTTTAATTAGTAAGTTGTGTTGCAAAAGGAATTGCACTTCGTTGTTTCCTGACAATGGACAGTGAACAAGGCTGCTGCCGACAGTGAGAAATGAGTAGTCAAGACGACTTTTAAAAATCTGAGTCTTATTAAATTTGGCAGATGGAATAATGGAAGTGTCGCCTAAGAATGGTTTAAGAGAGTAGCTTCGAACAGCTCTAAAATGAAAGCCAAGATGATTATTCCTTTGTGTGATATATTATTTTTCCTGGCACAGGGCAGAAAAAGCCTTTAAATATTTTGTCAACAGAGCGATATGCATTACAGCTCTTGAGGATGTTTAAACATTGAGAAAATTTCCAGTGTTATCTTTTGATGATTCTCCGTTCAATCTCAGGTTGTGAAAGCTGGAAAAGATTCTGTCATGCTGTGAAGACTATGAAAACTGATAAAAGGCTGAATATTTCAGCAAGTCAACTGTCTGAAATTTAACTCCAAAGCAACCATGAAGAATGTTTTGCAAGGCAGGATTTAATTCTCCAGGAGCCAACTTTTGTAATTCTAGATTTATCTTTTTATCAAGAGCAGATGTTTCAAATTAATTCAGCGATATATACATCTCACGCTATATCTTGAATATAATTTGAGATCAAATTCAAGTTGCTTTCTGCTTTTAGATCCTCGCTGTTGTATTATATACCCATGCATATACTGTATGTAGAAAGTTATTTATAAAGTGATTAAAGGTGGGATAAAAATTTAATGCATGAATAAAATATCCCACAATCAGAGAATAAGTACCAAGTAAGAGTGGTTACAAATGATCCAGATTATAATCAAGTTGAATGCTGGCAAAGTACTGAATTCCCACAGAATAAATGAGCAAACTGAACAAAACACATTCCTTTGTGCCTCTTTGTACTATGAATCAATAGCAATAGCAATATGAAAAACCAAAAAAAATCCAAAACTGTTCATAAAATATTTTTTATTGATTTATTTATCAAATATAGAAACTGCCCATCTCCCTCACAGAGGGATTCTGGGTGGTATACAAGTAAACTAAATTATAACATCATGCTATATTTTAGAAAGTACCGTATCCAAATATTATCTTTCCATTTTCCTTCTGAGTTAACCTCCACAATCATTTGGATTATTCTTTATTAGAATAGTTTAATGAGAAAATGTATTTTGGAATTACAAGTCAAATCAGATTGCCTGTAAGGCGCAGAACCATGGTGTAGCTCACACAATAACAACCCAAGTTCTCTAGTTGTACTTGATTTCTTAAATTAAATATGGAAATCATTTCTCCATTTTGCATCCTAGCTTTAGGGAACCAATCCAATCACACAGCAAAATGAAGCAGCAAGAACATTGCCACAAGACACTTAACATTTACTGTCATTTATCCACTAGCAAAAAAAGGTGTACATCAGCTTCAGAAAGTACATTTGCTTGGCTCCTCTCAGACTAATAATAGTGCTGAGAACTTCAGGAAATTTGACTACTCAATTGGGAAGAAGTAGGAGGTATAAGAATTAAGGAAAAAAGTCTTGAAAGTTCTGCTTTTCCATTTAAAATACAGATGGTGACTTTATACACCATGGATATCCTAGGAAGCAACCCAGCTGCAGTTATAATTTCTACATTGGACATGCAGCTTTATTCTGCACTGGTTCCGTTGTGATCCTAAAATCATATCAAATATGACCTAGAATAGAGCTGTAGATACAAAATTCACTTGCATAAAAACCAAGTTCAGTAAATCACTATAATTCCATGCAATGCAAGAGTTGAGAGTGAGATGAAACTGCATAAAGAAATCCATTGTCTCTAGACCGTTGATGATAGACCTATGAGATGCGTGCCACAGGTGACACACCATGTCGTTTTTGGTGACATACTCTTATCTCTACATACATTTAATTTTCATTTGTTAAATGCTTAAATGTTAAAGAGAATATCTCACTTATATTCACTGCAATGAAGAACTCTCATTAATCATCAAGTAAGCCTTTTTTCCCCCTTAAAAAAGTTTCTGCGGTAGGGGTTGGAATATGCCACAAAATTATGCAATTGTAGAATGCAGTTATGCAAAACATAGACAGACCTGAGATGAATACAGCCTTTAAAATGGATGAAAAACAAAGACTTTTGCTTTGAGGTGATTTATAATTATGTGTTTAATTATAGTATATTTAATTATCATTAAATATACACAGAATATTTAATAGGGAAATTTTGTCTCGAATGTAACCTGCACTTGTATAACAACTTTTCCTTCCTCCACCTCTTCCCAGTTTAAATCTTGCATTAGTCTAGTAACTGCTGCAACTGATGAAGTGAGCTGTATCTCACATTTATGTTATTCTGAAAAGATGCTACCAGACTTCTCTATTTTATGTAATAATATTGATTTATTCACTATGGAATAAATCTAAAACCAGATATTGTTAGGTAAATATTACATCTAGGTCACTGGTGGGAAACACTAGTGGCTGCACTCATGACTATAAATGCTCAAACATCCTTATATTTTGTTTATGATGTTTGGTTTTCTTATTTAACATTTATCAGCACACTTGGATATAAGTTGTATCTTATTTCTAAATTTGTTTGCATATTTAGAAGTCATTTTACTTATTGACAAAGTTTTGTCAACATTTGCAGTTAGAAGGCCTACTACCAAATGTGTTTATATTTTTTTTAAAGTTCCTCTTTACAGCGTTTTCAAAAATTTTTCAAAGTCTGTTACTTCTGCTTTAGCAACTTCAGCGCAAAACACATCATCTGGCATGGCTATCAGTTTTTCCAAGGAGATGTAGCTTGGTTGCTCCGGATCATATTGGGCCCTTCCCAGGAACTTAAGAAATAGATGTCTTTCTTTGATTCGTAATAACTTTGCATTAAAAATCTAAAATAGAAAAAAAAATGAAATGTATCTTATTTGGGAACAAGTCATACTGAAATCGGTGGCATACAGTTCTGAGCAAATAGAATAGAATAGAATTCTTTATTGGCCAAGTGTGATTGGACACACAAGGAATTTGTCTTTGGTTCAATATGGCATTAAACAACAGGTCATTAAAACTAGTGACATGTGTAAGACAATTTCATTTATTTTTAAAAATACATTAATCAATATCTTTGCATCTTGAGAATTGGGTGAGCCTGTTTCTTGGTAGTGGTTATGCTAACTGAGTGGTTTTGGCTGCTATGCTATTTTATATTATTTCTTCTCTTTTTACTGTTTTTATTGTTTTTGATTGTTAGCTACCCAGAGAAATATATATGAGATGGTGGCCATATAAATCTATTAAATCTATTATGTTGATATACAATCTGCATGAGTTCCCCTTAAGCTAGTTTTTACATTTTGTGCTCCAATGACTAGTAATTACATACATTTCAAGATTCTTACCTGAGGAAAATGTACCATAAGTTCGTGGGAAATGCCCATTACATTATGCACATAATCAAAAACCTGTGTTAACTTCTTTTTGCCTATACTTAGGTTTTTAGGGACTATGTGTGCAATATGGCGGATTTCATTCTTACTAAATCCAAGTTCTTCCTCATACACCTGAAAAAGAGAGCAATTGCTATGGATCAGTTTTGAAATTTGAAAGAAGTCAGAGAAACAGATGATATTGGGACAATATTTTCAGGGGGAAAATGAAGCATTTTTTTTTTTTCATTTTTAAAAAATATTACATGTTCAACACAGTTCTGTGGATTGGCCAAAATAAAACAAGTTACAATATTTTTCCAAAATCCTTGTGTGATTTGTATTCTCCGTATCTTTAGAATACTGAAACAAAAAATAAAGTCCCAGCTTTCAACAGACACACAATGTTAATTATTGTTATTGAGCGTTCAAAAATTTTTCTAACATTCATTGATTGCACATGAATACTGTATAAGGTATAATACTGCTGAAGTTTACACATAATACAATGCCATGTTAAAAAAAGTAAACATTTTAGCCTATTTCATATAAACTTGTCCTAACCCATAATGATGTTCACACACCTCATTAAACATACAGCTCCCTCTATCTGTTGTTTGTGAGCAACAAGGCACAACTTATTATACAAAGCACTACCTCACACTAGCTTTCCATATTTCTGTATTTATAAAGAACTTAAACTTATTAGTTTCAAAGTCATAGGGCTTGTGCAAAACACATTACATGTACTAGGGTATTTTTCCTGTTATATCTTAAGTATGAAGCAGAACTGGAACCTGTGAAAATTGGTCCAGTTGCTATCCTGCATGATTCTTAACAACTTTTATGAGGTGAAATAATGATTTTACAATAATTGCTAAAAGAAGGAGACTTACTGCAAGATTTTCTTCGATTGGTTCAAGTTTGCCAGTCAGCAATCTTGGAAGACGGGTTACCAGATTTCTAGTCTACATTCAAAAACAAATAAATATATATTAAATAATATATATTTGGGTTAAGATAAACATTTGTATTTCATTGGCAGAATATATTGTATTTATATATAGGCAACATGATTCTAGTTGAAAAAAATATGAATGCATAGTATAGTAAAATCACATTGGAAGACAATTTACTTTAATATATAGGCAGTTTCCACACACATGTAATTTTAAAAGCAAGCAGTGATATATCTTCTATTTTTGCTCATGCTTGTGTTTATAGAGTGGGAGCCATATTCATGGGAAGCTATTGTGCCTCAGCTATGGTATTATAGACACAGATTTTCTTATTTGGATGTTATGGTTATGTGAGGAAAAATCTGCCAGATATACAACCCAGAGTGGGAATAATATAGGAATGTATTTTATAACATAGGTATAATCTTAACAGGATTTCAGGTTCAACAATTTATACACATATGTTGAACATCATGATTCAATTACTTCAACTTTCATGGCAATGGATTTTTTTGGCTAGCCTATGACAATATTATACCATTTACATTCTTTTCAGAAAACTGGGTACAATGGCTATTCTCTGCCATCTAGATAAATGTCTATCTAATAGGAAGTTTTAAATTCTTGTAATGAAAAAGATTCTTACTATCTGTTTATGATTTTTGATTATTTTTTTCAATTATATTTTCAAATATATACTGTAATCAAAATAGAAATTATCAGTATCTCTCTAGTTGTTGCTGAATTCCAAACAAATGGAATGCTACACAGTGCTCATTTCAATCTAAAGTGGTCTGTAAAGAAAAGCAAAAAGTACCTTTCTTGGATTTAGTCCAAGTACATTTTGGAAGAAACCCAATCTATCATCCAGATTTTCCACAGAAAGATGGAGTAAACATGGAGCTCTTAAGACCATTTGTGTAACTGCTTCTTTGGGAAATTTTTTTGATATTAGATAATCGACCCTGGAAAATAAGGAAAAATACATTCATTTATAATGAAAGAAAGCAAAGTGGCAACCATTTATCCAAATGGCCACATCCCCGGCATTATCAAAGTAGCAGATATTTCAATAATATTAACAAGCAGAGCAGCAAAATACCACAATTCCCAATGAATGAGAATAAAACCATAATGTAAAAAAGAATTAGTTAACAATTTCCAGCTGCATTTAAATAAAAGTTCTGTCAATACTAGCTGAGTTTTGCGATGTGATCTTAGTATCCCATATGGATTATACTAAAACAAGCATGCAAAAATATATTTTTGCAACTGAATGCAAATACATTTTGATTTTAAGGAAAAGCTCTTAATGAACTTAAATGTCATGGTTAACTAAATCAAGAAAGGTTATCAAACAGCGGGTCTAAAGATTTACATTCTTTCTCTGCCCAAAAGACATAACCATGGAAAAAGTGCTGGGAATTCATCTTGGACATTCATTGTTCTTCTAGCCTATTTCTTAAAATAGAAGCCTTGATACTA